CAGTCTCATGGAAAACCATTCTTGTGGTTGGCAGGGCTGCATATCCATGATTAATCTGTCAGAATAGGTACAGTACAGCATGATACGAAAGACTAACATTTTTAGCGCCAAACGTTTTAAAAATATTTTTTGCCTGCTATATCTTGTATGACAAAAGAGCAGCTATAAGATATCTCCAAATACAAACAAATATTTGCAGCTCAGTCCACATCTGACTGCTTAGTTTGTCTTTCATGAACCCGTCAATACAGAGTATATAGAGAGGAGGTGGAGTACTCTACACAGCAAACTATCTTCAGCATATCTATAACACCCAAGACATGCAGTGGGGGTTGATATACTAAAGGCAAATACACTGTGTGTTGCTCTAGATCAGAGGGGAAGCTCTGCTGATTTCTATCTTCCAATCATGTGCCAACAAAAATATTTTTTTTTTTTTTAATTTTCCATGCATGTGATTGGGAATTCTTTGCAAAGTGAAGCTTTACCCTATTTACTAAGCTTTGGCGCAAGTGCACTTGCAGTACATAGTATATTTGCCTTAGGAAATCAACCCTATAGTCTTTGGTTCATTGTTCAAGGAGGCATCAAATTACTATAAAACTATGGTGCCTATACAACCTTTAATTAACCTAGCACATGTGAACAGCCATCACCCAAACGTCTATAACTGTTTGCCTAGGCAACTCTGGCATCATAGGAACCAGAGAAAAGGTTGTGAAGGTTAGTGTTAATGCCCAATTGGTTCACATTCCCAGATTTCCCAGGGTTGAGGCAAATGTAACTACTCCACTTTCCAAGCCATCGTATATAAACAAGGCTACGTATGCCAAACAATGCACATAAGCAACTGGTGAAACATTATTTCTTCTGTTTCTACTTTCCATTCCGGGTTGTGGGTCTCCAATTATCTCTGTACCATGAATTATCACAACTTACCTAAAGACTTTACATTATGGAAGAAGAGGTCTGAATATAGTGAGGATACAGTTCAAGGATGGGTGCACTTTCAAATAATGATCCCTAGTCAATGATAGCGATTGACCAATGGACATCCCAGTGCACCATGGATTGCAAAGTCTGGTTGAGGTTTACAGCCGGCTGTTTTATTCTAATAAATTGTACATGCTGGCAATAGATTATAATAACCCGTTCATATGGGGGGGGGGGGGGGGTGGTATGCTAGGTGCCTTTATTTGACCTGTACCTATTCCCGAAGGCTGACTTCACAAATTTGCATTTGGGATTATAATGCATTTTTTAAATTTTGTGTTACGTGAACTCACCCCATTGAAAACATGCATGGGATTGAATGAGCCCTAAAGGTAACCTGTTAAAAAGAAAAAAGGGTCTACCATTAGTGAGCTCATAAAAAAAAAAAAAATGGTAATAAGTTGTCTTGCTGTTGTGCTGATCCCCACTGCAGCTCTGATCTGAAACAAGCATATGCAGGTGAGTTTGGACATTTCTGATCTGGAAAAAGCATTGAAGCCAGTGAGGTGGAATAAACAGCCAGGAAACTAGTATCTTCTAGTAGGTAGCAGTATCAGACCCTTTATTTTTCCCATGACAGGTTTACTTTATGGGACAAAAGCAATCATGACCATGGAACACTGTATGCAGCTTTACTTGAGCATTTATATATTTTGTGGCTAATGTCTGAACAGAGATAGGCCCATCACAGATGTAATAGTACTCTATGCTGGATATCAGTGTTAGAGGTCAGTGATACTTTTGATAAGGGCTGTAGATGCTTAGAAAAGAAACAAATAGCCTCCGATGTGCTTGTAGAAGTCAAAGACCACTGTTCCTGAGTGCTTACACCCTCTTCTAACTGCCTCTATTGTACATACAACTCTAATACTGAAACTGCCAGGGCAAAATTGGATATGAAGAAGAAGGGAACAGTGTCAGAAGCTTATGAACATGAGACCTTAGAGGGTATATGTTGAGGGATAATTGGAGAAGTTTGGCTGAACAATACCTGACTTAGCTGGAGGACAGTGACTACACCACTGTTTACAAACGTAATATTGAACATTGCGCATTACTTCTCTTTCTTGACTAATATTAAATAATACAAAATTCCCAATATCACAAAATGTGCCTGATAGTGTTTTCAATACAGATCTAAAGGAAACTCCTTTCTGTCTAACACTTTTTTTGTCTTTGCCGTTGTATTTTTAAAAGTCAGTCTTACATTGTTATTTACAGACGAACCGTTTTGTATTGTGCCGTGTAAATTTTAAATAAAAGTGATTTTTTTCGGACTGGTAACTGCATGTCATAAACCATTTAAACTATTTTTCTAATCTAGATAATGGGTTTCTACAAATGTAACTGTTGAATATTTTTTTCTCATGTGTCAACAAGATTATTTTTTTTTTTGTAAAGTAATGTTTCTTAAAATGTGGAAAAGTGAATAAAATTATATTTGCTGTCAATAAAAGTCAACGTCATATTTTATATCGATCGCATGATTAATAGAATCACAACATTAAAAATATCAAATTGTATTACGGATTTGGGTGGAACAGACTAGATGAACGATTAGGAGAACAAGAAGTTAAAAGAAAGTTAACTTCTTTCTTCCAGAGCTTATAAACAAGCCTCACAGTAAGACATCTAACATCCGCACACATGAAGATGCTGCATTTTCTACATGAAATGCTCCTACTTTTCTTGCCCTGTTGTGATACTTTTTCCACTCACCGTGGGGAAGGCCATGGGAGGACTCAAAATTTCTTTCCTGCAGCCATGTGTTCCAGGAAAGAAAATTGCTCGATTCCCCCAACAACACAGTCAGCATTGACGAGGAAATCCCTTCCGCAGTGCTATTGTGTTCTGCAGAACACAATGCTTACTGCTAACGGCAATAGCCTCCAGCAGTAATCGCATACAAAAATATCCAACAGACTGGTTGGATCGACTTTAGTACAACCAGCTTGCTCATACATGGATGGAATCTCTGCCGAGCTTGGCCTTCCTGAACCGGCTGAGCTTCAATCAATTTATGGCCAGCTTTGGACTGTATTTGATTTACAAACGGATGAAAAAGCATAAGAGCAACAAATACTTTATTTTGAAGTCTCACAAGCAGGGGTGACTGCTCCACTTAGTCAAATTGTTTTTAAACTAGTCCCACTTGGGAGGGCTTTACAGTGCCACTATTACCAGCACAGTGCACAGTGGTAAAATAACACCCATCTAAACTGATTGCCATGAAGGAGCTCAGACATAATGAAATGACATCTGTTTCTGATGCCTGTCAGCTTGGATTCAAGAATAAGAGTACCTTCTTTTCAAGTCATCATTCCTCATCCATGGCCTCAAGAATTCTCCTGCTGCACCTACATATAGAACTCTCCTCTACAAAATATTCAGCACCCAATAAGCCATCATTCTTAAAGGAAAAGGGCATCCTAGCTCCACACTGCCTGTAACTGGAATCTTATGAACAGTTCCCAAACCTTAAATCACTTCAATGCAAAGTCTTACTGAAGGCCAGCAGGGCAAAAGACAGGCTTTCCGTTAAAGTAAATGAAGGCCCCACACATGTATAAGTGCAGCTTTGAATATTTCCAATGATTATGGACAAAGACTATGATGTTGGGCAGGCCACACAGTGAAATTCTCCAGATAGGTGTGTTGAAAGTATCATACACAGAGAATGCTGGCAAAGGGGAGGGAGGTAGAAAGGGCAAGTGCTCTTTTTCCTTTAATGACCATCCATGGACAAAAAGAACAGTTCCTTGTGTATTTTTTTATCTTGAGCCCCATTGTCCCAATCCATTGCAACAGAGGCTTTAAATGTTCAACACACTGTATAGCATGGTCACCTTCATACAGCATCCACTTGTATAGACAAATATACTCTTAGTACAACTATAATATAAAAGACACCCCCCAGCATCTTATACTTATGTCCTCGTTCCTGCTAGACCTTTGCTATGTGGCCCATGGGAAGCTGCACAACTGCTGCTGCAAAGTGTTCTGGCTAGGCAGCTTCTTTTCCACAAGTGTAGAAAAAAAGCTCCATTCCCTTCCTTTGGAAAGGTGGTCTTTCCTATGGGATGCATAACAACATCTCCATGGGAATACACATATATTTTTCCACATGTGCTCAGAAGATGCTGCCCAAGGAGATTGCTGTGTTGCTCCCACACAGAGAATATCTGGAAGCAGAAAGGACAGCAGTGCTGGGAGGCCAGTTATAGAACAACTTCACTAAAAATTATTGTTATCAAAAGGAACCTGCCATTGACAAGTTCTCCTAAAAGTGTAATTGCCGAGCTATTGAGCTGACCCTTTGCATCACTTTGCAGGTATTTTCCTGATCTTCGTACTGTTCTAGATCAGTGATGTAAAAGTACTCAAGGCAGTAGATTAGCAAAATAGCCAGGTAGCATTTCCAGGTGGAAAATGGCAATGGCATCTTCTGTTCTTCTCTTTCAACATATTTTAACATAGATTCGCCTATATGCTAGGTGAAAGTGCTAACAAACAAGTTGCTGTGTAAGATCCGTCCTAGTCCTGAAGGATTACAGATTAATACACAAGCTGAACCAATATTTGTACGAAGAATTATGACCAAACTTGGTTGTAAAGACAAGCAATTAATCAGCACAATATAAGCAGGTTTGCCATAAGATTTAGGAATAACTCTAGACTTGGCACAAGAATAAAGGGATGTACACGCTCTAAAATCCCTAAACACCATTACTATTTTCCTTATGAGTTCATGAACTGGCCTCCAAGATTGTGACAAACAGAAAGAACCATAAAAGACTTGTACAAAAACATGGAAAAAAAAAAATCACTCTTTATTTTCCCCAGAAAAATACAAAAAGAAAATTTCAAACAAAAGACATGCTAACAAACATTTTTAAGAGTAATTTTTTTTTTAATACCCTGGAAAAAAACATTCCTAGCAATGTATCCTGGCCCATAAATCAAGCAGGTAAAACTTGTTGTGATCCCCACACATTAATTTGGGGGTATTAATCAGCAGATGCCTCAACACTCTCAGGTTCGGGGGCAGGCTCGCTTCCCGCATCTTTCCCTTCCTTGCTTCGCTTGGATTTTTTGTGCTTGTGTCTCCTGTGACTGTCACCTTCTTCACTGTCATGGCGCCGCCTGCTGCTGCTAACAGAATGGACAAAGATTAGTGCATTAAACCAATTAAAGTACACAAGCCATTTTAAAAGGCAATCTGTAGCATAAAAGATCTTTTTGATAACATTGATATACCTGTTATGTTTGCTGGCTTTAATTATTTTTAATGATTTATTTTGCAAGTTGTATACGTGAATCAATCGGTTGATGTGCCTGTTGCTTTAGCCGGCCATAGATGGATTAAAACTCAACTCGTTCAGCAGGAACCAGCCAAGATTCAATCTATGGGCAGGCTGGTTGTACTGAAGTCAACCCATCAATCCACTTTAGTACAACCAGCCTGTCTAATTATTTTCATGCGATTGCTGCTGGCAGGTACAGTTGCTAGCAGTGACCATTGTGTTCTGCCCGAAGAGAAGGCTTCCCACCAGCAGAAAACAGCACTGCAGGAGGGATTCCCTCATCAACACTTTGGTAATCAAGCAATTTTCTTTCCTGCCACCTGTGGTGGCAGGAAAGAAAATTGCATAATCTATGGGCTGCTGCACCACAATTTCATAGAGGGATTTTGTGCAACTGCAGAGGCCAGCCATACAGACACAGAGGAGGAAGTATGTCTTGTCACAGGCCCTTCCCTCTTTATATAGCCTATTTGTGACATTAGGGATGGTGCTGGGAAAAACCACACCAGCTCCAAGCACTAGTTGTCCTCATCATCCCCTTTGTCTAAACAGTAAACCCGGTTTGCGTGTCCTACTGTAATCAGGCTCCGATGCACAATATGGTGGCCACTGGCGTGTGCATGGCTGATAAGCCCCCTATGTGATAGTAAATTTTGTGGTGACACATCCTCTTTAAAATGAGACATCAGAGTTCTACTAAACCCCAAATGTCACCTCTACATTCCACTGCAGCTAATCAATCACAGATTAGCCTCAATTAGCTGCCTCTTGGGCCATGGCAGCTACAATATGACATCTCTGAACTTAGGGTTCATACAGTAAAGTGAGGATCAGCAAGTGGTATGTCATTGAACTCAATCCACTTTACCTGCCATGGCTGCCTCAGACTCACAGAAGGGACATTAAAACATAATGAATCCATTCTTCTACCTCTACTCACAGAAATACTTATGATAAACATTTCTAGGTTTGAGTCCAAATATCAGGTAATCACATATCACCTACATACTACAACTCTCAGGTAACCGGGTATTTGAGCATTTTATATGCAGTTTCAAATGGATTTTCTCATTCAGTTGCAAATGTTTCTTCTTCGTTGTGTTTTTGTTGTGTGGAAGAGTAAGGCAGCCCGTACATTATAAATAACTCAGCAGGAAGGATTTCGACAGTGGGGAGGCTTCGCCGCCATCATTCTACAATGATCAGTGCTGCCACCTTCAGCCGGCGGTACTGATCCATCAGGAAAAACCCTGAAGGCTGGTTGTCCAGAAGTTGATTGGTTGATCAATTTCTGTACAACCAGCCTGTTGATACATGGATCGACAGCCACTTCGTGCTAAAGAGAGCATATGGGTCAGTACAGTGAGACTATGAGAACATATAGGGGGCAGCAGTGTGAGAGAGCATTCAGTTAGTACTGTAAGGGAACATATGGGTCAGTACTGTGAATGTAAGAACATATGGGTCAGTATTGAAGGAGGAAGTGACAGGACATATGACTCAGTAGTGTGAGATTGAGGAACATATGGGTCAGTACTATGAAACTACATATGGATCAGTACTGTGATTGTAAGAAACACATCGGTTAGAACCATGAGTGGGCACATGGGTTGGAACCGTGAGTGGGCACATGGGTCGGAACCGTGAGTGGGCACATGGGTCGGAACCGCGAGAGGGCACATGGGTTGGACCCGTGAAAGAATACATGGGTCGGAACCGCGAGAGTAAGAAACACATAGGTTTCGAGTAGGAGTCAGTACTGCACGTGTGTGCAAGTATGGAACAGTATTGTGTGTGGGATTGACAAAATAAATAACATAGCAGAAGCAGCCAGGATGTGTCTGGGTCAGTTTTCCTGATATTTACACACACTACTTTGTGTTTGTGGATTTGTGTAAATATTTCAGTAAAATGAGACTGGGAAATGCCAAACTAACTGGCGGCCAGCTGTAGTTTTCAATCTCCTAACTTGTTGAGCTGGCTACTAGATCTCTGCGAGATTTGTTCGGGCCGATTGTAAAGTCACCAATGTTTCAGGAACATGTAGGGTCAAGCTTTGTCATGCAGACAAAAACTTATTTACATTCCTCACCTTTGGTACAAATTTCCTTTAAAGTCCAACTCTGGCCACAGAGATTCTGGTGTGCTTGGGTGTAATACATGGCCAAATCACATCAACGTACTTTAACAATCAATGCTTTTTTCTTTCTGGGTTGTACAGCGGTGTGCCCAGTGGTGGACACACTTTTGCCCAGTGGTGGGCACATTTTAAGAAAATTTTGGTGTGCTGATGAAACACAATCTACTATTTGAAGTAAATGGCAAAATCTTCTGAAAGCAGTACCCTCATTACTGAAACCAGGTCACCAGTACCATTTTTTGTGCATCTGGAACTTTTCTTAAATAACTGTTTTGACCACTTAATAAAAAGCCCAATAGTTAAAAAGAACACATATACCTAGACAAAACATATACCATCACACCTCACTACAACACTAATACCTGCCATGCAAACAGTCACTTCCAGAAAATCACAACCAGCTCTCAATGAAAAACAAAATGACCAAATAGATAAAGGAAACCTACCAATAACAATTTCTATCAACCCCTTGAAAATATCCAAAATGTTGGTGGCAGGCTGCAATTAAAAACTGGCTAACAATGGCTGAAACTTAGTAAAACTTGCATGCATAAGACCAGCATAATACTTAGCCTCTGAATTCTAGTTGACCTTAGGGATAAGTTCACTCAGGTGCTGGAGGGCAAAGAGTGCACGTGTTTTCTTCTGTGTGGCCTACACTGCCATCAATAGGCAGAGAAACCATCAATATAAAGGCTTAGTGTGACTGAAACAAGGTTCATAAGGCAGAAAGTTGGCCAAAGACTTAGTGTTATGTTTTTTAGCCCACTGGCTGAATGCAAAAACACTAAGATTTATCTATTCACAAAAAACAAGGTAGAGGACTCCATCCCACCAGACATTGCATTCTGTATTGTACTGCTGTCAGAATACACTGATGAGTAGCTGCTGTTTAAGAAAAGTTATCCAACTTGTCCATTGGACAGAAGTCAATCGAACCATCAATTTCTGTTGAAAAGGGACGTCCACACACTGAATCTTACCGTGTGCACTAAGCAACAACTTTTGTACATCCTTTAGTCCCTGGTGGTTTAGGGGTGCACAGCAGGCACTGAAAACCCATTCTAAGAACCCACTTTTAGCAAGTGTGAACTTCATCCTTAAAGCCTCATTGTGCCTTTTTGTTTACTACTGTTAGGAATTCTGGCTGCATGAAAAGTTAAAGTGGAACTTTAGGTAAGGATTAAAAATGGGCACACAGCCAGGAATTTTAATGCAAAAGGGACATGCTTTGCTTCCTACCTGTCCAACCCGCACAGGCGCAGCTCACTGTACAAATTTGGCAATGCTGAATTTAAAGAAACTCCTGTGCATGCACGGGAGTGACGTCATCCCTGCCCAGCCAATGACAGCGGCCGGCGTTTGAGACCCGGAAGCTGGCCGCCCAAAAAGGTCAGTGGCCAGGTTGGGAGCTCAATAACATTAAAAAAAAAAGTAAACTGGCAATATCAGGCACTTTTTACCCCCTTCCTGCCCAGGCCAATTTTCAGGTTTCAGCGCTCTCACACTTTGAATGACAATTGCGCGGTCATGCAACACTGTACCCAAACTAAATTTTTATCATTTTGTTCACACAACTAGAGCTTTTTTTTTTTTTTTTACACGATTTAATTGCTTATAGCAAAGAATCTCTTTGCTATAAGCAAGCATTTAACTGAATTAAATCAAACCGTTCAGGATTCTTTGTTGTGATTAGCTGTGGCCAATCACAGCTAATCACATGACACAGATGGGCTGTGATTGGCCCAGCCTGTGCATGTGAACACTGTGGCCATTCACAGCTACACACACTTGTATACAATGGATGGCAGGAAAGGAAGCCATCCATTTTTTATAACTGTCATGTGACCTGATGCGATTGGTCACGGCAGGTCGCATGGTACTGGCAATGAGGACGGTACACAAAATTTGTCTTTGGCTGTGTCCAAGGTACACAGCTGGTGGCAGATCTCGCCACAGCGCAGCCCTGCAGGCACGCAAAAGGTGCGATCCAGGAAGGAAGTCATAGGACGCCTTCCCAGATCGAGGAGAGTCCTGCCCAGCCATCATTTTCCTATAGGCTAGGCAGGAAGTGGTTAATAGGTTACCATTAAAAAAAATTAACACCCATTAACTTAAAACCTTAAAGGATAAGTTAACCTTTTCAAGCAGAATTTCACTTTTCATAATAAATAGAAGCTTTTTTAACATTTTTTTTGCCCAAGTAATCCCAAATCATCATGTGAAAAAAAAGCATTCTGATTCCATTATTTCCTGTATCATCATGTGAAAATCCAGGAAGCTTTATCTTCCATCGTGCACAGCCTTAGTGCATCTCGGAATACTGGGTGTATTACCACTCTGGGCCACATCTCCATCATTACTATACCACCTCCTGTTTTATTTCCACCCATTTCCCTACTTCATCCTTTAAGGTGGCCATACACTATACAATCTGATTGTAAAATCTCCTTTAGATCTACCATTAGCTATATAGTGAAAGGGCCTGTCTGATTCAATACAAATCAAATGGATTGTTCAGGTGTATCCTCCTATTCCATAGTTTGGCTAAATATAAGAGAAACTGTAAAGAGATTGTACAGTGCTCAGCATAAATGAGTACGCCCCAACAGATTTGTCAGAAAACCTTTACTTTTCTTTCAGAATCAACATTTTCTATAGGATACTATACTGCAAAATAATCCCACAAATGCAGGTCATTGATTGCAAACAAGATTTGTTAATTTGCACACACAAAAAAGTATTTTTCCTAACAAATTCATTAAAGACCATGTTGCAAAAATGAAAACACCCCAAACAACAAAATTCTAATTAACAGGAATTCAACTACAGGTAAGTCTAATTATTCATTATACAGGTTTCCAGCAGACAGTTGATTATAAAAGGGCATTAAAGAAAACCCCTCCCATTTCATGTTGTCAGCAAAGGCACAACATGGAAGAGAAATGTCACAAGGCCTGAGAACGAAAATAATTTTACACAATAAAGGTGAAGGCTACAAGAAGATCAGCAAAGCTTTACTTATCAGTGAGAAAACTGTAGCAAAAGTGATACAAAAATTTAACAAAGAAGGAACTGGAACCATCTCACAGAGATGTCCAGGCTGTCCATGGAAGTTAATACCTCGACAGGAGTGTCTTCTGATGAGAAGGGTTGAAGAAAATCTCCCTCCATGCCAGTTCACTGCAGTTAGCTAAAGAAGTAGAAAGCCAAACTGGACTGATTGTTTAGTGTGGCACGGGAATACGGCGTACACTGCAGAGGAATGGCATTGGCATGCACGGGTGTTGTCCATGAAGGAACACTCTCCTAAAGCCCATGCAGAAAAAAGCCCATCTAGAATTTGCTAGGACCCATGCTGAAAAAGAAGGCAACTACTGGGACTCTGTACTCTAGAGTGATGAGACCAAGATAAATGTTTTTGGAACTGATGGATTCAAAATTATATGGCGTCACAAAAGTGAAGAGTACAAAGAAAAATGCATGGTGCCTACAGTAAACATAGTGGTGGCAGTGTCCTTCTGTGGGGCTGCATGGGTGCTTCTGATGTCAGGGAGCTGCATTTCATAGATGGTATCATGAATTCACAGATGTACTGCTCTATAATGAAAGAGAAGATGCTACCATCACTCTGTGCCCTTGGTCGTCGTGCACTTTTCCAGCATGACGATGATCCAAAACACACACTGCTGCATTTCTGAAGAACAGAGTGAAAGTGATTCAGTGGCCAAGTATGTCTCCTGATCTGAACCCAATCGAACACCTATGGGGAATTCTGAACAGACAAGATGACCATCACTCTCCATCCAGCATCCAGGCTGTAAAAGAGGTCGTTCTTGAAGAATGGAAAAAGATAGATGTTGCAATATGTCGCCAACTTGTTCATTCCATGCCTAGAAGACTTGGTGCTGTCCTTACAAATCATGGAGGTCATACATAATACTAGATGGAATAGTTTTTGTTGGGGGGTGTATTCATTTTTGCATCAACTAATTTGAGTAAAACTGAAGATTTTGTAATCTAAATTATATTATGAACCTTACTTTCATGTAATGAGATAAACAAATGTTCTATAAAACTCTAAAAAATCTTACTCTTTAAAAGGGGTTTACTCATTTATGCTGGGTACTGTACAATCAGATTGCATAGTGTATGGTCAGCTTTATTCAAGTACATAGGAGGGAGTGGACAGAGACACTTAGCTGTCAGGCCCCATTGACATCTCTGTGAATTTGCATTTCCTGCATACGTTTTTTTTTTGGGAGCGTTTCTGCTCGTTGCACATAGGACAGCCCACTCACTTGAATGGGCTGCTCTATGTGCGACAAACGCTAGCAATGTTTTTATGGAGTGGAGTGTGGCACTTTTTATTACTGCGCTTGCAGCATGTTTGTCACACTGCAGATTTGCACCTGCTACCCACGCTTGGGGCCATGAGCATTTAATTGTAACACAAGTGTAATGTACATTTGCAGCGTGTTTCCAAAACGTGAGTCAAAGCATGCGGTTTCTATGTGGTTTGTCATTCATTCAGAAACACACAGATGTGTAAGGAGCCTCATTGTTCTTATGTAAACACACCAATTTCACTTTCAGGCCCCAATCACATCTAGCGTAGTGGGAGCGCACATTATTTTGGCTCGTTTTTTCCCGTAACACACATAGGGCAGCCTATTGATTTCAATGGGCTCCCCTACATGTGGCAAAGTAGCCTATGGGACATTTTGGTGTGTTATGGTTTGCACCTCTTTGCTGCTTTACACGTGGCAAAATGTGTGTTTTCTTCTGCATTTGAAGTGCCATTAACAATTACAGCCACCAGAAGCGCAAGTAGTTTATTTTAGGTGTATAAAGGTGGCCATACACTATACAATCTGATTGTACAATCTCTGTACATCCTTCTTTAGATTTGCCAAAACTATATAGGACACACCTATATATCCAATCAGACAGGCCCTTGCACTACTACTATGGTGGATCTAAAGGAGACTGTACAATCAGATTGTAGAACGTATGATGAGCTTCTGTTTTCGATACTACTGCTCTGCTCCACATAGGCTGTTATATGATCGATCTATGCAAGAAAAAGGTAAGGCACAAAGAGGCAGACCCTGGCTGTGTATTCAGTGAGAAAGTTGTTCATTGACAATATCTGTACGTGAGTACAGAGGTGGGTGGATGGGAGCAATCTCCTGAAGGGGGAGGGCAGCTACAGGGTGTGTTAATGAGGTCAGCTGGTGAACTACTTCATTTTAATGGCTTTTCTGTCCCAAATACCAAATTCCAGGACGGGTAATGTAGGAGTTTTCAATAAGAACTGGAGGCTGAGGTAAAGGCTGTCCTAGGACACAGAAAACATTTTGTTTTCTGCAACAGTGGTACATTAACGGTATACTGGTACACCGGAAAGTGGGAATTTAGAAAAAAAAAAAAAAGTGAACTTAGCCTTTAAGGATCATACTTTGTCAGGTGCATGAAGTAGCAGAACTGAAACATACCACTCCTATGTCGAGATATAATTGCCAAAACCGTCATTAATAAGCTAAAATGCTATTAAGATGATCCCCAGAAACGGCTATAGCTGTGCACTAAACTAGTTAAAACATTCATCCACCCCCCAAGCTGTCCATATACAAGAGAGCTGTCATTTTATCCTTCCAGTTTCCCCAAGAACGCAAGATAACATTTGTACAATAATAAACTCATTGCTTTCACTTGATACATATTTCCTCTACATTACCTTCTGGATGATTTGTGGCGTGAGGACTCTTCCTTTTCTCGATGCCTCCTTTCCCTATGCCGTTCTTCCTTCTCTCTGCTGATCCTCTCCCTATGGCGCTCATAGCCCCTTTCTGTTCTATCCGCATACTCCTTATACCGGTATCGTTCTTCTTCACTGTGAAGCAAACATTGGCAAAAACGTAAGATTTATTAAAAGAAAAAAAAAAAAGAGAACTGCATGATTGCACATTAGCACTCGGTGTAGTCATATATACATTTACACACACACTATAACAAACACAACTTTGCACAATCGTACTGACTAGTATGCCGATGTTTCTCTTCTGCCTCAGTTTCTCTCCATTATGCAGCTAATGTGACCCCAGTGCTGACTGAGAGGGGCAAATAAGGATGCTGTGCAGGAACCTTCCTTACCAATCAATGATGTCACTGGTTGTTAGGATGCCGGTAAGCTAGAAGGTTGTAATGGTGCACAATGAAAACCTAAGGCTTTGTGTAACTAAAAGGCAGGCTCTTCATGCACCAGCTGGCTTGTATACAGTATTTGGGCAATTTTTAGGCAACATTGAAGAAACCTGAAGGCATTCCAGGGTGGTTGAAAAAGGTTGGTTTAAAAGAACAAAGAATTCCAGAGACAACCAATCCAGATAGTTTACCTTAGCAACATCCCCCCACCCACCAGATTAGCTACTATGAGAATTTGTCCAGTCCTGAAAGAACAACATAAATTGGTCATATTAGTTTGACTATAGTAGCGTAAAAACTGTTTAGATGTGTAGTAACTGAAATTCCAGTTCCATAAAAAAGCGTATATCAGTAAGTAAAATAAAATACAAAATAGCCATTTACGGTTTGTACAAAAAAAAAAAAAGTGTCCATCAAAGAATGAGTGCAAACTCATCAAGGTGCTGAGTGAATCTTTGACAAGCTTCAGTGTTCCACCACCAAGATCACACCAGAGCATCTTACCAAAAGTTCAGACCCCAAACAGGAGGTCCAACGAGGCTCAATGGCACCCACACACTCCAGAAATATCGTACACATGTATCTCAGCTGCTTACCACCAGCAACCACCGCTCGATCACAACAAATGTGTGATGAAATGCACTGGATGAGCTAAGCAGTGACGTCAGTACGCCCGATCGATTTTCACTGGTAGTCTGTTTCATATACATCTATATGTGAGAACTTTCCTTAATGAATAAATTGTTTATCATACATATTACACCATGGATTTCATATGTTTTATTCCTTATGGTGGCCTTCTTATGAAACTACATGTTTAAAAGGGATGCTACAGCACATCTTTATTCTTTTGTATTTTGATTTATTGTAGTATTCAGACACCAGTGAGTGCTGCTGCCTTCTGTATTATCTTTAAAGAGGTTTTTAGTTTATTTAGCACTTCGTGCTGATTTTTTTCTATCTATAATCCTACAGCTCAGCCCACATCACTAGGTCATTTCCAGGTCTCCAAGGTGCAAGGGGGCTTCTGGCATACCGAGTGTCATTTTGAATCTCTCACATAAGCCCTGTAACAGTGGCAAACAGGGGAACAATCCATGTCTTTTCAACATAAATGTGCAGCTATATATTATTATTACTACTACTACAGGTACTTAATATACAGTTGCAAGAAAAAGTATGTGTTCTTCTATTGTTGTGACTTAGATGACGTTCAGAGCACATTTTATGCCCAATTCATGCAAAACTCCACGTAATCCCAAGGGGTTCACATACTTTTTCTTGCAACTGTAGTGCTGTCAATTTACACAGCGCTTTACATATATATTAAACATTCACATCAGTCCCCAACCCTCAAGCAGCATACAATCTAAGGTCCTTAACTTACATTCATACATACACATACTAGGGCCAATTTAGACAGGAGCCAATTAACCTACCAGCATGTCTTTAGAGTGTGGGAGAAAACCGGAGTACCCAGAGGAAACCCACGCAGGCACTGGGAGAACATGCAAACTCCAAGCAGGTGGTGCCGTGGCTCGGATTCGAACCAACGACCCGAGTACTGTCAGGTGGAAGTGCTAACCATTTAGCCATATATGCATAGACTAAAACTTTACAGATACTTTAAATCTCTAGAGAACCATTAAAAGCTAAATCTTTTAAGAGTTCATGCTTTCACAAGGATGCTAAGCAGTGTCAGCATGCATAATCATATTAGAAACAATGAATATACAGTTTCTTCTTCCAGATTTCTTTCAAAAGTGACAAATGTTGATCTTCTAAAGAGTATTAGACTGAGTGATGGTGCTTCAGAAGGTCTTTCATGAAAGGGAGTACAAAATGATAGCCACGGAATAGGTATACCCATTTCCCACATGTACAATTGCTTGGTCTTTTCCTACCAATAATAAGGGTCCTAAACTAGACAAAATGAATAGGAGGGAAGAGGTAAAAGCACAAAACCAACAAGGCTTCTTTTTCTCAAATTCAGAAAGATAAAAAAAGATTTATTTTCCCATTTTCAAATTTACATCTCAAGGTGTTTGAGGAACACTGCTGTATAGACAAAACTGAAGGAATGATTTGCTAAAAACTGTAGCTAAAGTGTGAGTCATTTATAATATTACAATGTGGTGTAAACCGATCCATCAGACTTAATCCAACATTCTCAGAAAAAATGAAACGTGGAATCCTATTGGTTGTGTGGTCAAGATTTCTATTTTGGTGCTGCTTTTGAAAGACGCGCAGGGTTGCCATTCTTTCTGAATGTTACCTCCACAAATCTCACCCCGCACAGTGAGGAACTGCAGGGAAACCGCATGGTCAAAAAGACCCGCACTTGCTCAATCCATGGTCTTAAGACTGCTAGTACCACAATGTGTTAGCACATCTAATCAGTGTTCAACCATCTAATCTTCTAACATAAATGTCTGCCAAACATATCCTCACTTCTTAGGACATCACAAATGACATACAACAAAATTCAAGAACTAGAATTATTTTTTTAATGCTCAAAAACCAAGAAACATATTTACTTAACCCTACACAGCAGCTCTGCCAGTGATATTTATCAAATTTTGTAATAATTTCCAGAACTATACTGAGACAAATGCAAATTTGTATGCTGCAGATATTTTACTTGGTGCCCAAATTTTGTAAAGGAATTCCGTAGAACAGATATATACTGTAGGTGCTACTATTTAAAGGCAAAATCACGTAAGCTCTTCAGTGACTCAATTCTGCAGTGTTTTGGACTGTTAAATCAATCTGCGAATTGCCAAGCTGCAAATAACATGGAGTGGGTAGTACCAGCATCCATAACTGAAGACAGTAGACTGTAAAACAGGTATCTTTTGCTATACACATCTCATTTATATTACAAAGCCGAGAAAGCAATGTAGATGATAGTGTTAGAGGGTAATAGTGTTCCTCTTTAATTAGGCATGAATCTTTGGCACCCATGAGCTCTCATTTGCTATGCCCATGCTGTCATAGTATTGCATAATGCAAACTGTAAACATTTTGTACTGAATCCTAAGCTGTCACATCCTGGAAATTGAATTGCAGCCCTCTGGCTACATACAGTTCAGAGCAGTGAAGTCTTGGAGATGGAGACTGAAATGTCTGCTTTATTTCGACTCCTGAAAACTCATTATTGAATCTTGATCTGAATCGTCACACTAAGCAAATAGAAAAGAAGCCTGTAAAAAAAGCCTTGTATAACAATTAACCAATTATGAGGAGTGTACATGACAGCTATAAAATAGCATTGAATGACTGTGTGTCTGCCACAATTCTAACACAAACAAGGTAGGTGATCCATACTGGAAGCATTCAATATTTCCATACATCCTGTAAGATCACTTTGCATGCATTTCTGAAGAGAACTCCTAAATAAAGTACAGCTACACTGCACTCTTTAGTCCTCATGCATACTTGATGTTTTTACAGCAGCTGTTTTTGGCTTTTGACATTTTTTTCTACAGTAAACTCCCCAGCATGTTATCGTATGTGTCCATGCACACATAGAATGTAATCAACATTTTTTGGCTGGTACATTTTTTGGCTGGAAAAAAACCCAGGACTAGTGGGTTTCTAGGGAGGTTTTTAGCTGTAAAAACGCACTAATGCTGAAAAACGCGGTAAAAACTGCAAAAATAAATTTTTTTTGGTGAAAAAAAACACTCGCAAATGAGGAGAAACGCCGCTAGATGTGGCAAAACACCATTAAACGCTAATGCAAAAAACGCTAAAAAAAACTTCAGTTTTTAACGTGACTTTACACAGCTAACGTTACCAGCATTATCAAAACGTCCCGTATGCATGAGGACTAAGTGGCATTCCAGAAAGGCAGAAAAATTGGTGGAGAGACAGCAATGGGTGGATCATCTACATGTGAACAAATGCTCACAAACTAAAAGTCCTGCAAAAGTGGCTAAATACCGCAGACTACAGTACAGATGGAGCACCTAATACAGGTACCTATGGCTGTCAAAATGAATGCTACAATCTCATGCATTCCAATTTTTTCATAAAATCCAGACCTGAAAGAGGAACAAGATAAAACCAGAAGTAAGCATATTTGGTTCATTTACATTTGGTATTTTTAATATCTCGCAGGGTTTTTGCAGCAGCTGCATGGACTGCATGGAATATTTTATTTAATGGAAACTATGTCTCTGGCCTATGTTTTTTTTTTTTTTTTACATAGTTAGTCTGGCTGAAAAAAGACAAGTATCCAGCTATAATCCTACTCCCGCAGCTGATTCAGAGGAAGGCAAAAAAACCCAGCAAAGCATGATCCAATTCGCTCCTGATCCCCAGAGAGACAATCGGATATTCCCTGGATCAATTTTTACCTATAAATGTTAGTATTCTGTGTATCTAGAAAAAAATCCAGGCCTTTTTTTAAAGCAATCCACTCAGCTGACCAGAACCAACTTCTGAGGGAGTTTATTACACATTTTCACAGCTCTTACTGTGAAGAAACCTTTCCATATTTGGAGATTAAATTTCTTTTCCTTCAGACGTAAAGAGTGCCCCCTTGTCCTCTGATGACCTCAAGGTGAATAACTCTACACTGAGTTCACTATATGAACCACTGATGTATTTATAATGTTGATCATATCCCCCCTTAATTTCCTATTCTCAAGAGAGAATAAATTCAGTTCTTCTAATCCTTCCTCA